AATTTTTCTCATGTGCACTTACTGTGCTCTCAGGCTGTTCTGAATTTAGTAGGTGGCATTCCTAATCTGCTCTAAGAATTTCGAGGAAATATGCTGCCTGATAAATTCGGATATTACCTGGCTGTCCCACACCCCATTATGCAATATATTGTTGCTTTGCCCTAATAATTAGCCCAGCATCCATTAATAACACAGGTGATACAGATTCGTTTGGCCACGTATTTTAGAGTAGATGATAAAGCCGCAAATAATGGCATCTTTGTCATCCTGTCACCTAACATTAAAGTCTCCAAATCCTGATGGGATCAAAAAGTGTTCAGCTGAATTTACAAAAATTTTATATATAAGAATGTTGAAAGTTCAAAACTTGGGGCCTCCCTGATGGCACAAGGGCTTAAGAATCAGCACTATCCAGCTATCCCCAGCCACTGCAGCACAAGTTCCATCCCTGACCAGGGAGCTGACCCACAAGGCGCAGCAAACCTCTTCTGTCTCACCCGCTGCTCCCCTTAGTCAATCTCCCTGTTCTGTTGCCCACTCTGTCTCTGGTGAATCCTCTCACCCCCGCACCTCTGATCTGCACCCAGCTCTTGTATGCATAAATAAATAAATCTTAAAAAATGTCCAAAACCTGAAAATATAAAAGTTCCAAGAATATATAGAAACTAGATCACCAAATACTGAGTGTTTTTAGATATAGACATATTTCCTCCTGTATTATTTCTTTCTATATACCTCTATATTATTATTCTAATATTAGCAGAAGCAATAGAAATAATATTTTGTCTGTAACGCCTTTATAAATGTGGTAAACATCAAATAGTAAAGGTGTTTAGTTTCCAAGTTGTTAATTAAAGTTTTTTTTCTTGAGTGAACATATCCTGTTCATATCACACTTTGCTACAGTACTTCTCAAGGCTCACAAGTTACATATATATAAATATATATATATATATATATATATATATATATAACCATTTTAAATTAAGGGTAAATGTTGTATCGGTATACTCTCATTATTGCTGTTCAGATTCTGTGTGTGCTATTTTATTTTTTAAAAAGGATGTTTTCTAATTTTTTTATACATTATTAGGAAAAAACTAATTACCTTCAGTGTTATGTGTTATTTTATTTCCTTTTCATAGCCATTTTTGGAAACTAGAAACAGGAAAAGGGAGAGACATAGTTAGATTACCAAAATAGATAAATCATAAAAATTTGGGAAATAAAATTGAGAGAGCCGTAGGCCAAGGAAAAAAAGGAATAAGTAAGCAGAGAACTGCATAAAGGTATAATTAGAACAAATGTTGGAAGGGGGTGGAAATGTAATAGGTAGATGATATAGAAAAAATATAAAAGTCTCATTAAATATTGCATAGATCCCATTTTGGTAATAACCATCAGGGAGTTATGGTTTTTATATATTTCTCTTTGAAATGTTTACTACATAATATTGATAGCTCCTAGGTTTTTCTATTGTTCAAATTATTTGTAGTTCTAAACTCATAAATACATTCCCTGAGCTACATGTCTAGTGAAAACTGCAGCTCCTCTGATTTTTTTTAAAGATTTATTTATTTATGCATACAAGAACTGGGGTACAGGCCAGACGTGGGTGGGGTATGAGAGGATTCACCAGAGACAGAGTGGGGAGCAGAACAGGCAGACGAACCGAAATACACTGCTGAGGGGAGCAGCGGGCGAGACAGGAGATGTCTGCTGTACCATGTGGGTAGCTCCCTGGTTGGGGATTAAACTCGTCCTGTAGTGGCTGTGGGATAGCTTCATAGGTTGTATCTTAACCCTTTGCGCCACCAGGGAGGCCCCTTTTCTTTGGATTTCCAGGCTACATACACACTCACAAAGAATATTAATAAAAGTGCATGTGCACATACACACAACATGAATAAACGATGAGAAATGTACTAACTTTGAGTATAAAGAAACATATTTTCTTTGGGGAAACACCTAGTAAAGATCTTTGCACTCAGCATGAAAGATGAGATGCTGTGAGCATGAACAGAAATGGTCACCAACATACTGAAGGAAAGGAAGCTCCCCCATTGCTCCAAGGAGAGGGAGTCGTTGCTTTGCTGCTGGGAATAGAAGAGAGTCGACCGGACCAGACCAGAGGCACAGAAGATGGGGGAAAGAGAGCATCTGGGGCTTAGGAAAAAGCCAAAATCTGCCAGCTGGATTTGTTTGCCTGGCTTCATTGAGTCACTGCTTTGCTTATCTTCACAAATCTTCACAAAAGATCTGCCCTGCCCACAGGTGCTTGCAATCAGGGATTCTCATTCATGGGTGACAAACTCAAGCTTTGAAAGAGCATATAGAGAGCTTAGGTTGGGGGAGTTAGACGTCCCTAGTCCCTCACGCCTGGCCACCCCTTCCAGAAATTCAGGAAAAATTCAGGGAGGACTCGACATCCATAATCTTAGGATTGGGGATGACTGTGGTGGGGTCTTGGGTTGTTTTTACTCATACTTCCGAGGCGTTGGATGCTATAAGTTGACCTAGGTTGTCCAGATCAAGGATTAGCCAGTTCTTTGTAGTTTAAGTTTGCTTTTTCTCATCTGTCTCATCCATTTGTTTCTCGCAAAGTCTGCATGGATGTTTGATCCAGAGTGGATGACTTTAGAAGCATGTTCAGCACTGGGGTCAAGAGCGGGTCTGTTCTGTTCCAACACTCAAGGTGGAGTTGAGGCTAGAGATGGGGATAGGAGAACTGAAAGAAAAGTTGTGTTCATGACATTGAAGGTGAGAAAGAGCCAGGTCTGGATGTATGACAGGATTTTGCTTTTCAGTCTCCAGATTTCTTTAACTTGTAGTTCTATAGAATCTGGTTGATAACATTTTCAATTTCAAAAATTTAGTGTTTTTTTTTTTGTAAAGCTTTAATGTGAATATTAAAAGAAATAGTGCACACGATAGCTTAGTGTGATCTTTGATGTACAAGTGCATGTAGCTCTTATTATCAATTATCAATGTCAAAAAAATTAAAAAAATGCAGAACCAATGGGAAATTAGAATTGAGTATACTACCCAAGCATGAAGGAAAGAAAATTTAAGCCAAGTTTATGGATTGCATAGATTTTATGTGGGTAGGAAAAAAATAAGAACCTTAGTTCCTATGAGAAAAAGCACGTATAAATGTAGAAATTAACACAATACCTATTAGGGTTAAGGGTGCATTTGCTACCACATGAGAATTCAAGGGAGAGATAAAAGTGAGCTTGGTGGCAGGATAGAAGATTAGGCAGGAAGAACGTGTCTAGGTCTTGCCAGACCTTGAACTTCAGAGGAATTTTAGCTCAATATAATGGCAGAAGGAGTCATTTTATACTTTGAGTATGGACATAATATTACTTGATTTTAGGAATTTTAATCAATTGTGATATGCCAGAATTACTGAATATATAAAAAAATATTTTAAAGATAACTGGGAGGTTCTACACTTGTCAGGGAATGAGGTGAGGGGTTCTTGGTGTAATTTTACCTAAAAGTGAAATAAAATTTTCTATAAAGCTATGTATATAAGTAGAGAAGAAAAAATTGTAAGAATCCATATGCATAGAATAAAAAGTAAGAATGCTGTAGGTAAAGTAATAATGAAAGCAGCATTATGGTCATCTATAATCTTTAATCAAGTGTCCTTAATTTATTATTGATGAATTTAAGGATTATTGGGTAAATATCTTATATGCATCTTATATTTTGAAATGAAAGTGATTTATCTGAGTTTAGCCAATGGGAAATTGATCCTGCTGGATAAATAATACAGCCTATTCTGGAAACATTGAAAGAGAACATTAAACTAAATAGATATAATTTTGACAGTTCCGCTACATTAAAATTTAAGAACATCTTACTAAATCAGACTGACTTGAGGGCCCCATATTGTATAAAAATGTTATCTTTTTTAATATTAGAAGTGGTGTGACTGGTTGATTTTTATTGAGAAAAATAAAGTCTGTTAGACTGGTCATATAGCTTCAAGTTATAACAAAAACAATGAATTACTTACTTAAAAGTTATACTCACTTGCTTCATGACAGAGTTTACAAACTCAAAGTTGCACATAAAGCATTTATAACATATAAAAATAAATCAAAATAGGTGTTATTGAAAGGCACCAAAAGAAACAAATATCATCAGGAGTCAACCGAAGTTTTTTGATATTGTGCACTAAGGTTAGTTCTGAGTTTCCTGACAACTAAGGCAAAAAGGGTGATATATTATGGGTTTTACATTGTTTATAAAAATACTGAAATCTGATCTGTAGAGACATTTGTTCCCCTATCGAAAGGGTGCATTGTTCATTATGACAGGGCATATTTTTAACTTGAATTTTACAAACATGCTATTTAAAAATTAAATTCATTTATTATGAAAGTTAAGAGGTTATATATTTCAGTAGTAATATTTCCTTAAGGTAAGAGAAGTCAACAAAATCCAAGTTAATATATTATATAATTAAGGTAAGCTAAGGGTGATACAGTAAAATGTAATGACATTTCTGAAATCTGTTGGAGTATGAAACTTACATTGAAAGATAATGAAATTGATGGACTAATTTAGGAGTAGAATGAAAAACAAAGACCTCTTCCATATTCCCTTTTTTTCAGAATGTTATTTATCACCTTTCCATTTAGAAGATCTACCTGCTATCATTTTAATAAAAATTGATTGCTTAAAAAAACTGCAAGTTCCTGAGGATGGTCACAAAATAAATAAAACATAAAGTTATGAGCTTTCTGGGAGTGCTGGACGTTTTTCTTCTGGAAGAAACAGACATGAACATAGACGGGTAGAAACTGTCTAGGAAATGGGTGTTGTGATATCATGGATATGCAGGAAAATCTCTTCTCAACTAAAGAAAGAAACATGATTATGGTTGATTTGTGACTCCCACCAACATGTTCATTCCTATCAACTTCCTTTTTGGACAAACACTTCAGGTTTGACAAAACAACAACTGTTTTTTCTCTGTTTCCCAGAAACTAACGGGAGTCAGTTCTGGAGGGATAGAAGAACATTGTCCTTGGGGGTGATGAAGTGTTCATAGTAGTGACTGGATAACTTCTAGAGTACAGCAAAAGCTATAATGAATGAAAAACTAACAAGGTAAAAATTACCTGCAAAGTAAAACATTTTATGGCATAATACAGAAGTTTTTGCTATGTGACCCAATAAAATGATTTCAAAATAAATGATAGTCAATTCCTTTACAGCTCAGGTAACAGGTGTGTGTTTGTATTATTGTCATCAATAGATGACTTAAAAAGCATTTTGAAATAGTACACCTCAGTAGCCATCTGACCAGGCAGGTAGTTAGTATTTAAGGGCCTAACTTGTCAACTAAGCCAGCCAGAATGGTTTGTGCATGTGTTTATTCATTCACTTATTCAAAAATATCTTGACTACTTTATGACAAAAATATCAATAGCTAACACATATAGAATCTCTTGTATTCCAGGCACAACATGGTGCCTGTTGATTGTAAAATGATGGACAAAGGATCAAAGTAGAGCCAACCATACAGTTCCTACAGCTGAGGACCACTGGTATGGTGGTCTCTTTTATCACCACCTTCATTTTTTATTATTATTAATATTTTATTTCTGTTATTATTTTGCCATTGTAGTCTTGTACTCTTGTACCCTTTATTGAAAACCCATCCATAGAGAAACGCTTATATATAAACAGGTGAAAAGTTAAAAAAAAAAATTTCCCCTTCCCAATATAGATATGTTCTTTGTAGTAAATTTATCATTCAACAGGATTTACCAATTTTCTACAGTGGAGAAGAAATTGTTACTGTGGCTTGGTCTTGCCCTCAAGAGATTTAGCTTCTGAGAGTATAAATAGGTAAGTGTGCAATTATAATCTCAAGTGATAGGTACTAACATAACACTATGAGGGGGCAGCTATGTCTCCCTATGTGTATTGTGTTATGTATGTGTTTGTGTGTTTGTGGGTGTGTGTGTGTGTGCATGTATGTGTGTATGCTGTTACGAGAGGCATGAGCGGGGGTGCATAAGAGGTTTGTGAAATACAGGATGTGAAGTGAGATAACGAAAGGACAGATATAGACATCATCTGTCAATCTCTTTATTTTCAAATATAGAATCACCGAGAGAATGGGAAGCAGTTAAAAGCAAGTTGCCCAGTGCCCGATTATACACCCCTTCAACTTAACAAAGTGCCTACCTTAAAGTAAATATAGAGCAGCAGACTTATTTGTATGGAGTTTTCATATTTGGCTTCATTTAAAATGCTGAGTTCTGGTCAGAGAGTTTGATGGTGAGAAGAAACAGTTGCCATCATTGGGACTGACCTTGTGCATTGATTTAGTTCAGATAGTTTTAGGATAGCTCTCTATTGACAACTGACATTACAGAAGTATTTCCTGCTTGGGCTTTAGAGGTAGCCAGGAGAGGGGAAGTTGCTGAACCTCCAGACTGTGTGATTGGTTTTACCTCTGAGCTCTCTTGGGGGTCCCCTGCGTGTCTGTGTGGGTGGCGCCCAGAAGGCGGATCCAGGCTCAGGAACTGCTGGAGATCTGGATGGATGGAGCTTCTCCCAGAAGCACAGGGTGCGCGGGTGGATGGTTCTAATTCCTAACCAGGTGTCTGAGGGACCAGTTGTCCTGAGAGCGGCAAAGACTCAAAGACTAGGGCTTCTGATCTTCTGATTCTGAAACAGACTACTGGTCATTAAGGGGAACAATCAATTGATCCAATCTGAACTGAAGTCAAAGAATTTCTTGTAATTGTGAAATAGTGTCAGTGCAAATATGTCATTGGGTCAGAACTGTGTACAGTGGTTTTATGTATGATTATTCTCTATGTATATGTGTATGTATGATTATTTCTATATTGCATTGTGTGTTGGAAATTAAACTTGGCGTTTTTAATGCTAAAAGGAGTAAACACTCACCGGGATGCCAGCAGGTACAATATCTCTGAATGAAAATACCACATTCTAACAGCTGTTTGGAATCTTTTTGTACATGGTCTGCATAGTTAGCATGATAAATACCTGAGAGGATTTTCATACTGACATTTAATTAAAATAAAATTACCTATCATTGTTACCCACTGCACAGAAGCTATTTTTATGTTGATATTATTCTAATGCCATATCAGGCTGATTGAATTTATATCAGTGATTTTTATAAATTGAATTATCTGAATACTCAGTGCTTTCAAAAGCCAAGTCACAGATTCTATTGCATTGTATGGGAGTATCAAAACATTCTCCTCTTTGTTGAGTTACCAGTAGAAATTGAGTAGTCCTGTGTAACTTTGATGGCATACTGTGTTACTGGCTTGTCCCATTTATTTACTTTACAGTCTTTGTGCTTTTATTGTTTCTTGCTTTGATTTATATTTAGTATCTAGCTAATATTAAGATAATATTTAGTATCATAACTAATATTAATATAATTTTTTTACTATTAGTTTCATGAAACTGGTCTTCTATTCTGTTATTACATTTGTGCTAACTTTAACTGCCATGGCGGAAGCAGTGCATATTCAATAGAGCAGTGATTAATGCACTGATTGATCAGTGCACTGATGGTTCTTCTATCTGTCCATCCATCCATTCACCCATCCGTCCTCCATATATCTATATATCGATCGATCGATCAATCCATCCATCCATCCATCCATCCATCCATCCATCCATCCATCCATCCATCCAAACACCTGCCCACACGCTCATATTTCCATCCATCATGTACTGTGGATTTCCAGGGCTAACTCATCCTGAAGCTAACTGATGCTTGGTATTGTAAGTCTGTACTGTATAAGGCCAGTACATGCCCTTTAGTATTCAATTCGGAGCCTCCAGATAGTTGGTATGTTAACAGTTGCTTCTATTGACTGTTATAACATAGCATAATACTCTGTAAAATCACTCGGGCAGAAATGTTTATTTAAGTTTTAGTTCTAAGGCAATAGCACTCAGTATTCTCAAGAAATGTCAGTGGTTTACACAGTCCTTGACTTTGTAAGTTAAGCAAATCAATTTGTTGTGAATATGAAGTTTTTGTTTTTATTTTGTTAAGGACACAGAATATTATATTGATAGCAAAGCAATAACATAGCACAATGCTTGAACTCCATTAATTATAATTTTAAAATTTATGAGTAAACTTTCTCCCTCTTAAAGACATATATACACATATTTATATATATATATCCAAATATTTATTTTATTAATTTATGCATACAAGAGCTGGGGTGTAGGCCAGAGGTGTGGGGGTGAGAGGATTCACCAGAGACAGAGTAGGGAGCAGAACAGCCAGGTCTACTGAAATACGCTACTGAGGGGAGTAGCGTGTAAGACAGGAGAGGTCTGCTGCGCCATGTGGGTCAGCTCTCTGGCCAGGGATTGAACTCAGGCCCTCTTGGTGATAGCACTGAGACTTAATCCCTAGACCACCAGGGAAACTCTTGTAAGCATCCACCCCCGACCTCACCCCCTTTCCTGACTTTTTCTACAAGAGACAGTGAACACCCCATCTAATCACCTGTCTGCTTAAAATTTGAGACAAATCAAAAGGAGCTCTGATAGAATTCTCTTCTAATCTCATGAACTCGAGCCCTTTGTGAAAATGTTGACTATAATTCATTGCAAAAGAAATGCTGGATACGATGATACTGAACATCAGAAACTTTTGCTGACAGACGAGGAGAGTTGATACACAGACACGGGCTTTTTGATCTTAAAATAACCAGTAACAGGTGATTTTGCAGTATACTATTATTTCACCGATAGCTTTAATGTGTTGGGAATTTTTGAATGGGGTTTATTTACATTTGGTTTCGCTTTTTTTTTTTTAATTACTGATGTTGCAATGCAAGAAAGCAGCTTTTTGCTATCAATTATGAATAGCCTTAGGTTAATTGCTACATTTAATTTCCCATTACAGCCACTGAGTCTCGTGACTTAGAACTGTCTTAGAATGTAATGATTCTGGTAAGAAGAGGAAATAGATTGAAAGGGTCCGGGCAGAAATTTATCTGTCCTCTCTTTTTATAGAAGGCACAACAAAAAAAGTACTTTAATTTGATACATCACTTCCTATTTGAAATAACAGCAGCCTCTAAATTAAGAAGTTGCTGCTTCTTCCTTTGTCATTTCTGGTAAACCAAGTAGATTTTTGTCGAAGATGGGAGATCGTTTCTCTCATAATTTAATTGTTGGCCATGCCTTTTCATGTTTTGTGTTCATTTGAGGTTAAAGAGGCCATTTGCCTTTTGTTTGTATTTACCAGATGATCTTAGTTATTTGTAGGTAACAATAACACTTATTTAAAGCAGCCTTTTTTCTGTCTCTAGTTACCTCACAACAATTTTATTATTATTTTTTTTTCAATCTAAAGAGAGAAAACCTGGTGCGTCATTTTTTAAGCTGCTATTGAAATTAAAGGAGAGAAGAAAGAGGTTGAATGACTGAGACAAGGTCAACTTATGTGTTTCCTTGGAGACTTGCACGCAAGTGCTGAGTTCTGTTCTCTTTCAATCACATTTCACTGCGGGGATCCCGGCACGCAGAGCAGAGAGAAGAGTGGAGCTTTGGTTATTCAGAAATGTAGTTTTTCAGAACCCCAAAGAGTAAGGAGGAAATTTGAGTATAAATCTACCCATGATGGTAGTAAACAGTCCCATGTGTTTGGCTTGGAGAAGTTTTTAAGATTCTACTGTGGACTAAACTAACTTTATCCCAGGGAGCAATGGAGACTTAAGGGATAAACAGCATGTTCTATATTTTCAGTTGTTTTTTGATTTCCAGAAGTTATAAATGTGCTCAGGAAAATGTTCTTCAGAAAAACTTCTCACACCAGACACTGCAAGACAACCCCAATTTCCTGTCCTTCCTCCATGAATTTGAAGTCTGCTTTACCCAACTGGGTCTCCTGCTTCTGTTATCAGCTAAGAAACAAAGTCAGATGAGCACCTGTCACAGAGGCCTGGGGCCTTGTTCAAAAGGGGATTCATTTATCCAGTCTCTTGTTCCGTCTTCACTACTTACAGGCCAGTCAAACTAATCTTTTAATCAAGTTGGACATTTCATTGCTGACCACCTCACACTGTGGGTCATCCTGCCTTTCCTGTTTTGTGGAACAGTGAAGATGGATAAACATGTCTTAATTCCTTTTTATGTTCCTATGTATTTTAATACTCATCAAATTGTTGAATTTCCCCCGAGGATAACATTCTTTATTAATGCAATGCATGAAATTATAGACTAGCCTTTGACTTTATATGAGTCGTTAATAAAATTAAAAATATTCAGACACCACAAACAAAAAGATAGCCCTATATGTTTAGCTCTGAGTTTCAGAGAATTATAAATTCAATATACTTCTTCTTTTGTTCTCCTCCTTCTGAGAATTCTTGTATAATTTGACCACAGTGTCAAGTCTAAAGAGAAAAAAATGCTCCTTTCAAGTTTCTTTCTTGCACATCGTGCCTGGAGTATTCTTTTCTTTTATGGTCCTCCTTTAAATAGTTCTCCCAGCAGTAGCAATTTATTCTAGTAAACAGGCACTTGTCACATGATCTGGAAAGTACTGATTTCTTCTCAGTCTGCCACAAATACAATTAAGTTGTTCTGTTTCCATGGTCAGTCACCCCTGTTTTCTAAAATAGGCAGACTCTAGCATTCTCCATTTTCCACAACAAGCTCAAAATGAAGCTTTTCTTGCCTAATCGGTTCTTTTGCGTTGAACCAAATGTGCTCTGCAATATTGAAGCATCCAGGCGAGTGGGCAGAGTCTCTGGAAGTTCAAGTTCATGTCGCAGGTGTCAACCTTACCTGCAGACGCACACGCCGCCAACTCATTCCAGCCGCGTTCTGTGGTCTAGAGGTGTCCTGTGTATGAGAAAGGTGAATGTTTTCATCGCAGTCTGCTCGTGAAATGATGATTATTATGATTAGGAAATTAAAAGCTAAAA